TGTGCAAGATCAGGCCTCTGTAGTGTGTGTAGAGACAGAGACAGAGGTGAGATTTTATTGAGAATGATATTTGGGAACAAAGGACCAAGTTCTCAGCTGGTGTAAATTAGTGCATCTCCATTGAAGTCAAGGAAGCTGCACTAATTTATACCAGCGGAGGATTAGGCCCCAAGTGTATTGCTCAACAGCCTAAAAGCCTCTACATCTGCAAAGAGAACAGGCTAAGATTTTACATTAGAAAGAGGAGTCATTTTGCGAAAGTATTTAGAGGACATGCTGTGGGGGTGGTACACACACGCACACACACATGCATACACATATATATATATAACCAAAATGCAGAAAATTATTTATGCTCCCCTTCAATAAAAGCATTTCTCACCATAGAATAAGTGCCAAATGATGTTCCTAAAAGCAGAAAAAGTCCCTCCACCTATACCTTTTGGGAGAAGTGATCTGCATCTGGTGTTTCTATAACAGAAGTCAGTGTTGTCAGTTTCACAGCTTTACAAGCTGTGGGAAATGTGTAGATCTCATCTGGACAATTACTCTTCCCCGCAATTTCAGAATCACATGCAGAATTTCCTTTATTTGTGTTAGTTTTGCCATTGCCCCAAACTCTATCAGCTCTGTTCAAACTGTGAATTGGTCTTATGTCCATGGGTTTAATTTCACTTGTTGGAATAAATTCAGACCTTGCCATACATTCTGTGCTTTGTCCATTTTAGCGAGAGGCCATCAGGAACTGGTTATGGCTCCTGATAATCTGCCCTGGCCTTGGCCCTGCTTCAGGTTTGAGCTGGTTGAAGGCTGCTCTAACTTACGCCAGCTAGGTACGGTCGTCTACAGATCACGCACCACTTGGCTATAACTGCATTTCATGCTATGGCTATTCTCTCACTCTCCCCAAGCCTGAGACAACCCCTGGGCTGGATGATGTGGGGTGGAATGCATAGGAGCTGGCTCTGCCAGCTCTTTTGTTTGTTTCTTTGTGAATTCCAGATGCTGGGAATATCCCCAGCAGGGGATTTACTGGACTTTTCCATTCTCTTTGCACAGCGTTAGCTTCAGTCCTAAGTGGCACAAAGGGAGCAGATTGGGACAAAGAATCTGATCCTTTGTAAACGGGTGCCATTCCATTACTGTTAGTGTGGAACTGTACACACTTATATCAGGTCTGAAAGTGCCTGTATTGTTTGGGGGGGAAACACCAGGCTGATGTGGCATGTTTTTTGTTTTAGACGTGTTTTTAACCAACAGGATTATCACACTCAAATTCATGGGTCTCATTTAGGAAAATAATCTCATCATTAGGAATTTCCATTGCCTCAGTCTTACAACTTAATGGTGACCAATGGTGGAGTTTACTTTTATTTACAACACAGAACTTTTTATTTCTGTCCCCAAATGGTTATCACATCATAGATATGACTTACTTTCTATTATTCCAATTAATTTTCTTCCTTTAGTATGTGGCCATGAGCAGATACCCTCTACAGAAGACGTTTGTTTCCTAGTCTATATTAAATACATTTTCACTATTGCATCCAGCTTTCAATATAGGCAATGTATCTGTGATCCATCTACGTACAGCATTAAACTCAACATCCCACTTCTGTTCTGTGTTCTGTTTTAAGGATAGTGTCATCTGTAGGCTCAAATTTCTCAAGTCCTAAGTGTATGGCAAGTTCTTATGCCTGAACATAGGTCCTGAGGGCCCACATCTCTTTGCAAACACTCACTGAAATCAAACAAGCTTCTACCTCACTCACCTTGCCTTTGCAGCTTCATGTTCACTATGGATTGATAATTATCTGCTGTGCAAGTATTTTTGTTTCCTGGTGAAGGGGACTCCTCCCCATTTGACCTTTTTGAAATGCCAGATGTTGATGACAGAAGATAAAGAAGCCAAAGGTGTGTCAAGTATGTCTAACATCTGCACTTTAGTTAATAGGAGCTGATGGTGCTTATGTGAGTAGTGTCAGCGAGACAATGTGTGCTGTCCTGCAGTGTGGTGCAACACTGATTTATTGTGCTTGTAATATACCCTAATAATTGTCTGAAACCGAGTGTAAGCGAAAAGCTGGATTGCACTTCATCAAACTTAATGCAAAACAGAGAAATAAAGCTGCCCCTCTTATCTTGCATAAGGGCTTGTTTATATAAATATACAATATATTGGAATTAAACTAGGACTAGACAGCTGCTCTCTTGTCTACAACTCTTTTATAATGCAAAAAGGCTTTAATCTATCTGTTTTCATTATGGTTGTGCCTGAGTGCTTTCATAAGCAATAATAGACAGTAATATTTAGCAAATCAGTTCATTAGAAAATCTAATTGCTTCTAGTAATTTGGTAAAAAGAAGAAACCACTGAGGTACAAAAATAAAACAAAAAACGGCTACCAAGAAAGGCAATAATAACTGGACCTCACACTAGAGCCAAAAGTCTTTGCACAGTAGGAAAAAAGGAAGATGAAAGAGCTGGATTGGAATGATGGATTCACATGTACTCTCCATAAGGATTTGAACTACACATACTCTAAATATCATATGTTTTCTAAATAGACAAAAGGCTATTGTGGCCAGCTTTGCCCGGCTGTGTGAGGTGGTGGGTGCAAGAAACCTTCTGCCCCTTTCAAGGGTAGGCACAATTCCATCTGCCTGGAGGTGCTCATTACTCAAGAAAGAATACAGATGCCAAGTGAGGTCAGCCCCAGCTCTCCTTCTTCATATCAACCAACAGAGCAAGCCAGACATTGAAGGGAAGTTGCATGCTGCACTCACTGAAAGGGTAGTGAAACCTCCACTACAGTCTGCACCATCTGGGGCCCCATGCAGATTGTCTGGCTTTGTCAGTCAGAATGTTCTGGAACTTATATTGTGGCATGGCCCCTCCCTTTCCCACATGGGACATGGTTTAAAAGTAACAATTTGGTAGACAGTGTAACAGGTTGAGGGGATGAGTAATCCAAACATTTTAAATGGGCCATTTTATATAATTGAGGGATTGTTTTTTTAAAAAAAGCTAACACTAAGAAAATTTAATTTAACAGACGAAATCTACACATTTGAAATATCTTTAAAGTGTTTGAGCTGCAAGCAGAAGAAGCCAGGAGTTACATATGAAACTCAATCCTTATCCTGCCTTTCAGCCACGGCACATATAATTACAATATATAAAACCCTCCATTATTTATAGACTCCAGCAATTCCTTGGTTCAGTTAATCTGAGCTTTCTGTATTTAATCAGTTTTAGCTGAGCATTGGACACTGAGTTACTACACTGCATAGATACACCACCATATTTTGATTCACTTCATATACAGTGTACATCGCAAACATGCCTTTGTTCAAACCTATCTACTTTAAAGTCCCTAGAACTCAAGCGTCTGTGGAAAGCAACTTGATTGCATCCCCAATGCTGGAATAAGTTGCCCCTTCCAATAAAATAGATGTCCACATTTTGTTTCATTTGAAGAAACTTTTAATTCCTTGTTTTAAGAAAACTTGTTAATGGAAAAGGAATTGAAATTGTGATGCTTCCCTACTGGTTGCTATTCTAGGATTAGTTTGTGCTCTCTGTTACACTGGTGTAAATCTGAAGTAACTCTTTTTAGTGATGTTACTCAGGATTTATACCCATGTAACTGAGAACAGAATCTAGTCCTTAGACTGGTTATAAAGTACTGAAGTATGCTGGAGTAACTGTCAAACTGCTATCCTTTCGGTGTCTCTTGGCAATGAATATTTATCTCAGGCAGCTATCCTAGTGAGCTATTTATCCTAAATAAATAACTGTTGTTGGGTTTTGTCTTCACATTTTTGCCTTTTGTATGACAGTAGGGTTGTTATGCTCCTGGTAAACTCTTTGTCGTAATTAACTTCAAGGAGTACAGTATGTTTCCAAGCCAAGTTTGTGTCAGGGCACACAGGCACACAAAGTCTGTTAATAAATAATAGGCTTTGTGCATGCACATTTTACAATCTGGTTTAATAAAAGATCAACCCTATGTGAAAAAGAAGGAAAAGAGTAGTTTTAGTCACTGGGAATGGGAATGGCAGGAAAGTTGTCTTCTGTCATTAGTGAGGACCCTGCAGTGGTGTTTCTTCTAAAAGCACACTTTGGTTTAAATGGATATTTTATAGATTGAACAATTCTTAACTTTTTGTTGTTTATTCTGTTCAGGATAGGAAGTGTATGGGCCAAGAGAGTTTACTTAGTAGGATTAAATGTTTTCCATTTCCTAGCAGTAGGTTGGGTTACATGGTCAGCGTGGCTACATGCTCCAGAACCTCAGCTGGAGTCAATCGGTGTAGCTCCTGTTGATTTGGGAAGGCTATGCTCATTTGAAGCACCTAGCAATATGTTTTTAACTTGGGTTTATGAGCCATCACAGTATAGCTTATGTATTATCATTTACATGGTAAGAAAAGAAAAGAAAAGAAAAGAAAAGAAAAGAAAAGAAAAGAAAAGAAAAGAAAAGGGGTGGAGTGTGGGGGAATTAAAAATGGTTCTAGATACAGTTAATGTGATACAGAGTTTTTCACTTACAGGTCGCTGATTCAAATCAACACCAGTTGGCAGTGACTGAGGGTGAAATCCTGGCTTTGCCATTGATTTCAATGGGGTGAGGATTTCACCCTGAAAGTTACCATCACTTGGATATTCTACAGACTTATATTAAAATTTCTCAACCTACTTTGTAGTGGTAACATGCCCTCATCACCATTAGTGTTTCTAGAGGCGATCTTAGCAGAGAGGTCAAAGACTGACTGGGCAATGGAGACTGAATTGCTCTCTCGCCCGCCTTGGTTGGTGTCTCCAGAGTCTGTTGGCAGAGCAGCATGGTGGAAACACATACTGCTGCTTAGTGTGATGTTTGTTCTGTGGATTGAGAACTTCAGTTTCCAGTGATGTCAACATGGGCATCTAAAACCAGTGCTTAATTTACTTTTAAATAAATCATTAAAAGGAATAAAAAATATGAAACACTTACTTGGTCCAAGACCTATGGAAAAAGCAGCAACATAAACAAGCAAGCTGGCCAAAGACAGCCATTTCAGAGCAACTGGAACTTCTACAGTGTCTATTACTACGTGGGATCCTCTTTGGCTTGCTGCAGAGGTCTTTCCTCCTGCCAAGGCTGTGCTGTTCTGCTCCTCTGTCTTAGCAGTTTCAAATTTTCTCAGCGTGGTTAGCGATGTTCTGCCTTGGAAAGGCATACCAGCAAACTGCTCCCTGAGACTCTCGTTGCTGGCACTCACGTTTCCTGGTCCATGAAAAATGGAATCTTCCAGGAACTGGTTTCTACAGATATTAGTGAAATTCATGTGTATATTAAGATTTACCAATCCCATAGTGACCAGTGACACTGCCATAATAGAAGAACCAATACACAGAAAGGTTTTGCTTCCAATTTGATCCACAAAAACAGTGGCTGGGATTGTACTAACCACTTTAACCACTCCAACTCCAGTCGAGGCCAAGCTAGCTGCTTCATTGCTCTGGAACCCAACTGACTTTAAAACAGTGGATGCATAAAATAAAATGTTAGGCTGCCCTGTTGTTTGCACAAAAAACACTAGCGTGAGGCCTATTAGCATTCGGGCTCTCATGTTGTCTTTTGAACGGAACAGGTCCAAGAAACTGTACTGATGTTCATCTTTCAAAGAAGACTTGATCACAGTGAGTTCTTCAGCAGTATTTGAAGTTGCCCTGAGCCTTCCCAGTACCTTGCTAGCAGCTTCATCGTTACCTTTCATAACAAGAAACCGAGGACTCGGTGGAAGGAAATACATGGCAGTAGCTTGTAAGGCACCTATTGGTATCACAAGGCCAAACATATACTTCCAGCCATGGGAAACATTGGTGAATACATAATTTGAAATGTAGGCAAAAAGAATGCCAATCACAATCATAAGTTCATTTAATGATACAAGCAGACCTCTTCTATGCTGTGGGGCTATCTCAGCGATATATACACACGTTGCAATTGAGGATAATGATATTGAAATACCAATAGCAATCCGTCCTACAATAAGTATGCCATATGATGAACTGATTATCAAGATCAGGCTTCCCAGTACAAGTAAACAAGATGCTATAATAATCGCAATTCTCCTTCCAAATCGGTCTATTAGGAATCCACCCGTAAGTGATGCTAGTAAGGCCCCAATGAGGAGGGAGCTTACGACTATTTCCTGTCGTTTGCAAGAAAGTGCTAGTATACTGCTTAGCTGAAGAAGAGCCCCAGAGATGAGTCCCAGTTCATAACCCATTAGGAATCCACTGATGGCAGCAATGGTAGATGATAGAAAAGTAAATGTTCCACATCCTGGAATTACAGAAGAAAACCAAAATGAGCTCTGTACCATTCTAATCATCAATAATAAAGTTATTTTATAAACCTGTCCTCAAAATCTTATTCTGAGGTCTCCATTTGGGGGGAAACGATAGGATCAAATGAAGAAAACCCAACAACATTGATCATATCAAGTGACATTGCTGAAAGCAGGAAAAAATACATCATGTAATGCACTTAGTTTTTCCCCTTTATTTTTAGTATCTCTTAAGCACCTGATCCCAAACCCATTGAAAGACTCCCATTCAGTTATAGAGTTTAATGCCAGGAGGGAGCACCAAATCATCTAGTTTGACCTCCTGTATATCACAGGCCACCAACGTTACCCAGCACCTGCACATTAAACCCAACAACTGAGGCCAGGTCTACACTACAGATCTATATTGGTATAACTACGTTGCTCAAGGATGTGAAAAATTCACACCCCTGAGTGACGTAGTTATACCAACTTAACCCCCTATGTAGACAGCACTGTGTTGGTGGGGAAGTTCTCCTGTCGACATAGCTGCCGCCTCTCAGGGAGGTGGATTAACTATGTCGCTGTTGGATTAACAGACGCTCTCCTGTTGGCATAGTAGCGTCTTCGCTAAAGTGCTGCGGTGGTGCGGCTGTGCTGCTGTAGTGCTGTACGTGAAGACAAGCTCTGCAATTAGACCAAAGTATTACGGCCCACAGGAGACTAGACTATTATGTGCCACAGACAGAGAATAGGAGGGACCAAGGTGCACCCGTGCCTGGGGAATGAGTAAGTGAGATATAGGCAGATAATCCTGGCCAGTGACCCACACCCACACAGTTCAGGAGAAGGGGGGGAAAAAACAAGGTCACTGCCACTTGCTGACTCCACATATGGTGACCAGTTAGACCCTGAGCATGTGAGCATAAACCAACCAGCCAAGCACTTGAGAGAGAAAATGTTTGGCGCCACCTCAGAGCCCTGGTGCTCTCTGTCCAGTGTTCCATCTCCAGCCGGGGCCATCCCTGATGCTTCAGAAGAAGAAGAGAAAAATAAATTGGTGCTGGGGGAAATCCCTTCCAATCCTAACCCCTGCAAGTAGTAAGCTGAAGCCCTGACACATGAACTTTTAGAAACGTAAGATGTAAACAAGAAGTGGGCCAACCGCAGGGCTGTTGAGAACTGTCCCCTATCATCATTTTTTTCCTGTTAAATTTCCAACATTTTTCCTGAGTTGAATTTAGTCACCATGAAAGGCATCAGACTGACAGCCCTAGAACCCTTATCCACACAGTTGGTATATTATAGACAAGAATAGTTTATGCTTCCTAACCAAAGTGCTTCAGTCCCACCTTGGAGGGACTAACTGTAGCTCACGAAAGCTTATGCTCAAATAAATTTGTTAGTCTCTAAGGTGCCACAAGTCCTCCTTTTCTTTTTGCGAATACAGACTAACACGGCTGTTATTCTGAAACATGTGAGAATATAGTTTATCCTGGACTCCCATTAAATCCTTGGCCTTGCTGAGAATGCTACGGTTGCTGATTCTGGGGGTGTTCCTTTGTGATGTGGACACTTATCCACTGGAAACCAGACAAAGATTTCCCACCCAGTTTTGCTGCTCCAGATAGATAGATTGGATATTTCAGATAAGCCAAATTTTGGGGTGCAAACCTCTGAACACTTTGGGATTCACTCATCATTAATCCTTGAGTTCTTTTTAACAAAAAGATCAGCTATTTCACATCAGAAACAGCACAAGGCGTAAGCAGACTAAGCAGTTGCTTAGAGCCCCGAGCAGCTCAAGGGTGCTCCCTATTAATTATTAGTATGTGTTGTGTGTGGGGAGGTCTCTAAAAATATTCCTGCTTAGGGCCCCCAATGGGCTAGCATGGCCTCTGTTTCACATAGTTTCTGATGGCTGCATCACTGGGAATAAAAACCAGATGGTGCTAGAATAGACAAAATGGAGAACATGTGCCATTGTTTCTCCACTTTAAAATAAACTGTGTTTTATACAACTGAGATTCATTGTTTATTACAACAAGAAAGATGTAACTAATCATATTCTGCTTGTTGTGAAGCCTTTGCACCCTAGCTTTTGGTGGATAATTCTAGTGTATTATTGTTGGGTTAATTCTTCCACTCAGCATAGTTGTTGTTTTTTCTCAGCATGATATTGGCTGCCACACAATTAGAGCCCAAGTGAATTGACTGCTGATATTTCAGTTAGTTGCAGAGAGCTCATGGACCAGTGGGAAGTGGCTTCTGCAACATAGCACAGACAGTATTTCAACTAATTCTTTTGGGGCAGCTTTGGACGACTAGTTCAGTCAACTTGGCCTGAGAGTGGTGTATGGTATGGTAACCTAGCCCATCGGAAAGTAATGGATAGTTCTGTATTTAATGGATAGCTCTATTTATTTTCAATTGCTGTGATCTCCTTTGCACTGTACCCAATACTTTTTTCTCCATTTAGGCCTACAGTATCCAAGAACAATAGGTTTATTGGCAGCACTGATTTGTGCAAAGTTACACTGTGGGCCAGATCTTCAGGGGACGTAAATTGGCTTCAACTGAGCTACCCTAATTTACACCTGCTACAAATCTGGCTCCTGGTATACATATGTGATACAGGTGTTAACCTCACTGCAGAAATTAACCTTCTCCCACCTTTGATCTTCTGCTTTTAATACATTAGTAGTGCTGGGGGAAAAAATCCTCCAGTTAGGTCCCGGTGGAGGAATTCAGTGGGGCAGGAATAAGACATTACTTATGCCCCCGGGGTAAATAGTATGGTTATTTTAAAATAAATTATTTTTGATTTAAAAAAGTATGCCAGTTTGGTGTGGCCCTCAGACAGCTTGGAACTTGCCAGCGTGGGACTCAAGGCCACAAAGGTTGTGCACCACTGATACATGCCAATGTTTAATAAGTATAGGATGATTATTGTATTGGTAATTTTAAATGTTAGCTTTGTTTTTTCACTCCTAGTTTGAGAACCTCCTCTAAGGCCTGAGGCTCATGTTATTAGACCTACTCAGTTTTACAAACTTGCAGCAACTAGTGTTACGCCGTTGATCTACAGCTCTCACCTCCTCTCTCTTCCCCAAAGCAGGTTTTGGAACAGCGAGTTATACCAGTCGAGCAGGTTTTTAATTTTTAGGGAAGACTCTGATTCCCATTTGTTGTCTGACAGTGACCCCCACCCACCACAGTTCTGCAGATGAGCCTATCATCTGTCAATCCTAACATCCTTTTGAAATGAATTGTGCTGCCTTTTCAAAGTTGGCCCTTGAATGTACAGCACCTCCTGGCAGGAAAAGGGCAAATAGAACATTCTACAATCTCAGTAGCAAACTCTCTCAGCAGTTCTACGTGAATCACATTTAATCAGCAGTCATTGCTTTTCCCTGGAGCCTATACATATTTTTCTTATTACTGGGCCAAATCTTAATGTCCCTTACCATACTCAGTCCTTACTTGGGCACAATTTCCAATGGGTTAAATCCTGAGAGCTTTATTCAGCTTCCACTCAGGCCAAGTCTACAAGACAGAGTTATATCGGTATAACTGTGAAAAATTCACATCCCTGAACGACTGAGTTATACTGACCTAACCCCCGGTGTAGACAATGCTCTGTTGACGGGAGAGCTTCTTCTGTTGACATAGCTACTGCCTCTCATGGAGGTGGATTAAGTATGCTGAGGGGGGAAGCTCTCCTGTCGGGGTAGTAATGTCTTCACCTGTGCTACAGTTGTGCAGCTGTAGCACTGTATGTGAAGACAAACTCCAAGTCTTTCCCTGACAAAATTCCCATTGACTTCAATGTGACTTTTGCTTTAGCACTTCCAATAGTTTTACAGACACTCCTTTTAAATAAAAAGAAAAGGAGTACTTGTGGCACCTTAGAGACTAACCAATTTATTTGAGCATAAGCTTTCGTGAGCTACACTTTCCACTTCTTCGGATGCATACTGTGGAAAGTGTAGAAGATCTTTTTATACACACAAAGCATGAAAAAATACCTCCTCCCACCCCACTCTCCTGCTGGAAATAGCTTATCTAAAGTGATCACTCTCCTTACAATGTGTATGATAATCAAGGTGGGCCATTTCCAGCACAAATCCAGGTTTTCTCACACACACACACACAAACCCACTCTCCTGCTGGTAATAGCTTATCTAAAGTGATCACTCTCCTTACAATGTGTATGATAATCAAGGTGGGCCATTTCCAGCACAAATCCAGGTTTTCTCCCACACACACACACAAACCCACTCTCCTGCTGGCAATAGCTTATCTAAAGTGACCACTCTCCTTACAATGTGTATGATAATCAAGGTGGGCCATTTCCAGCACAAATCCAGGGTTTAACAAGAACGTCTGAGGGGGGGAGGGTTAGGAAAAAACAAGGGGAAATAGGTTACCTTGCATAATGACTTAGCCACTCTCAGTCTCTATTCAAGCCTAAGTTAATTGTATCCAATTTGCAAATGAATTTCAATTCAACAGTCTCTCGCTGGAGTCTGGATTTGAAGTTTTTTTGTTGTAATATCGCAACTTTCATGTCTGTAATCGCGTGACCAGAGAGATTGAAGTGTTCTCCGACTGGTTTATGAATGTTATAATTCTTGACATCTGATTTGTGTCCATTTATTCTTTTACGTAGAGACTGTCCAGTTTGACCAATGTACATGGCAGAGGGGCATTGCTGGCACATGATGGCATATATCACATTGGTGGATGTGCAGGTGAACGAGCCTCTGATAGTGTGGCTGATGTTATTAGGCCCTGTGATGGTGTCCCCTGAATAGATATGTGGGCACAGTTGGCAATGGGCTTTGTTGCAAGGATAGGTTCCTGGGTTAGTGGTTCTGTTGTGTGGTATGTGGTTGTTGGTGAGTATTTGCTTCAGGTTGGGGGGCTGTCTGTAGGCAAGGACTGGCCTGTCTCCCAAGATTTGTGAGAGTGTTGGGTCATCCTTCAGGATAGGTTGTAGATCCTTAATAATGCGTTGGAGGGGTTTTAGTTGGGGGCTGAAGGTGATGGCTAGTGGCGTTCTGTTATCTTCTTTGTAGAACAAAGTGGCTGGGAGTGGCGAAGTCATTATGCAAGGTAACCTATTTCCCCTTGTTTTTTCCTACCCCCTCCCTCCCCAGACGTTCTTGTTAAACCCTGGATTTGTGCTGGAAATGGCCCACCTTGATTATCATACACATTGTAAGGAGAGTGGTCACTTTAGATAAGCTATTACCAGCAGGAGAGTGGGGTGGGGGGAGGTATTTTTTCCTGCTTTTTGTGTATAAAAAGATCTTCTACACTTTCCACAGTTTGCATCTGATGAAGTGAGCTGTAGCTCACGAAAGCTTATGCTCAAATAAATTGGTTAGTTTCTAAGGTGCCACAAGTACTCCTTTTCTTTTTACGAATACAGACTAACATGGCTGTTACTCTGAATCCTTTTAAATGCAGGCTTTTTGTGATATTTCTGGGTGGAGAGGGGTTTAGACATTCCCTTTAAAAATGCTTCTTTAAAAATATATATATATATTTCTTTTGTTTTTGTGAGAACCCTAAAATATATATAGCAATTCACAGTCATGTGCTGCTAATATATATATTTTAATGGGAGGCTTCCATAAAAAATTCTAGATAAACCCCATGGCCAATGGGTGTGTGACTAAAAATAAAAAGGATTGAGAAAGCTATTCATTTATTTTTCCATTTCAATAAAAATGCGTTCTAACAACCAAGGAAGAAGGCAGCACTGCCTGGCAAACAAACTTATCTTTAAGAGCATTTGCTAAAAGGTTTATGGTTTGTTCCTGAAAAACAGACTGAGGATAGTAACAGTATAGCCTAGAGTTCAGCATGTGTAATTTGAAATTAGGGGTGGAGATGGGGAGATGAAAATGTTATGGAGGGAGTGAATCCTTCCCCATTATTTTTTTAACCTGTCATTTGGTACAATCTGAGCCATTTCAAAGGTAACTGTATATTATGAGATGCACGGGTAAGTCATTTCTGGCAGGGGAGATTTACAAGCTTTCAGAGAAGGGGTGATTCCATCAGAGGCAAATAAAACCATCCTTATCTGCCCTTCAATTTGTAGCAAGCTCCTGACTATGGAAATTTTGAACTCTGTCCAGCACATCACAGCAGCTTCACAGATGAGATTATTCCAGGCATGGAGATTCCTCTTGTGCACAAATGTTTCCACATTGTTTTTTAATTATTCCACAAAGCACATTTCAGTTTCTCTGTCTCCATAATGACACAATTTTTTTAAAAAAATTGTAAATAAAATTATTTTGTTGTTATAATTTATTATTTGTAGTACACTAATGCCCACAATGCAGACAGAAGGAAATTGCTGCCCAAACAGGTATGTTGGTTATGGGATGTGGAGTCTTTCATCTCTGTGCCCTTGCTACAAATCCAGCCCACTGTCAGAGTGTCTGGAAATAGATGAATTTTTTTCAATCCCTCACCTTCCTGAACTGCCTCAAGGGTAATTTGGAGTGAGAAAGTCTCCATTTCCGGGAAAGAAGTAAACAGTTTTCGGGAAGGTTATAATTTTTTCTATTTTTAAATGTTTGCTATTTGCAACTATCTAGAGATTTGGAAAGTTGGGTACAGTTCTATCAAAAATAGATTAATGGTAAATAGGTCAGGCAGTCAAAAGTGCATGATGAAAGGAGTTCATCACATAGATATGACTACCAAACAATGGGATTCCCCCTCTCCAATGGGACAAGGCATTTGTTTGTAGCCTTGGTAGATCATGAGATATCAAACCTTAGAACTGCAACATTTGTATGGAAAATTGATTTTCCCCAGGTTATCTCTTTCCTCTCCCTCTCAGAGCTGGACAGTTAGACTGGATAGTATAAGGGGAGCCTGGCTTTACAGGTGGAAGGATATGGGAAAAAAGTATTAACAAAAGTTTTTAAAATGCTCAAATATGTTTCTAAAATAGTGTTTCTCTAAAACATGTCGCATATGCAGAATACATTGTGTATACATTGTGGTGTGGTTTGTTGGCGCTTGTTGGGAACGGCTGCATAATTCATTCTTGGGTCTGGCTTTTGTAAGCAAGTTGGCATCCCAATCTCATGCAATAAAACCTTTATACCATCATGTAGTCAGTCTACCTCTCTAAAACTGAGTGTGAAAAAGATACATGTCATTGACCTGTTCTGATGTTCAAGGCTTCTTTAGACCCAGCATGAGGCCAAAGGGTAGGCATGAAATATCTTTGTTTTCTCTTGTTGAATTGCCAGTTCCTAAATTTACTTGATTTAGGCCCCAGCCTTATAACTGGATTCAAGAGGGTTAACAATTGCTGAATTGGGACCTGAGTCATGTAGCAAGCTTAATGTGAATCTCATTTCTTTCCTTGTCAGATAACATTTTATTTGCACCCCATATAATAATATTCACTTTTACTATCCAAAATTTTGACTAGATGGTGTAGCAAGTTCAGAAGCACTGTTCATTTTGGGAGCTTCATTTTAAACCTCGGGTATTTGCAGCACCCGTTGCCATGTATCTAAGTAATTCAGTTCCTGCTGATGGCACTATCCACCACACAGTGTGAGAACACAATAGAATTCATATACAGAACAATATTTGTTATTTACATAGGGGGGAAAGTTTTACTTTCCCATGGAAGTTAAAACAGTTCAGAAGGATATGGGTCCTTTAAACTGGAGATTACTTTCCGGCCAGCTGGTGGAATACATATTTCATATATTCATAATTCTCCAGCCCTTTAACAATATTTTTAAAAAATCTTGCTGAAAACACAGTACTTTAAAACTGAAATCTGTACAATTGTTATGTCCCTGAAAAAGAAAACAAAAACAAAAAGAAAACCCAACCCAGTTCACGCTTCGTGGCTGCGTAAGTGCAAAAGACTGAGGTGTTGGAAAGTATGGCGTACTGGGTACATTGTAACCTGACGACTATGTTGCATAAATAATGCACAGATTGTAAAAACAATAGTTCAGTAATGTGTCCGCAAACTGAATGGTTTTTTGTTCATTAACCCTAGCTTCCCTGCGATCCCAGATATCAGTGGATATTGCTGGCCTTATCAATAACTTTTTATTACACGCCAACAATATCATTTGTGCCAATAGTATCTTAACATATTTGGGTTAGTTAGTTCATTGCAATTCATTTATTTCTAAGCGAACATTAACTCAGGCATAGCCCTCTCTGGTTTTCAGCAATATTTTCCTTCTTCTGCCTCAGTTGTAAATCATGGTAACAGAATGTAACGATTTTGTGTCCCCTCCTTCTGATCTCAGTAAAAGAATCTCTAGATGTACAAAATGTGTTACACCAGAGATTAGGAGAAAATGACAGTTAAAACAGCAAAGTGCAGATGGATAAAAGTTGTTCTATGCTTGCAAATATTTTTTTCAGTAGTAATTTCATATTGGATTCCTAGTCTGCAGACCCAAAGTCAAACTGCTATAAGCAGGTGCAACTCCCAATGGAGTCCATGAGCTCCAGTGATTTCAAAGGGAGGGTTGAATTTGGTCCTTTGTGTGCATGGGTCGCAATAGAATAGCCATTGTGGCATCAGTGGCTCTTTTGATCTTTCAGGTGACTAATCTGCAAAAGGAGAAGTATTTACACATTAGAGGGTGCATACATGAGCTGTAGGATCAAGGCCTTCAGGGGGAAGTATTTCAAACACCCTCATTGAAAGGGAAAGGTGACACTTTGTTTTTTGCTCACATTTTCCCTCTCTTGCAATGCCAGGAATTAGGGGGCAGACGAAAGGTGTTAATTTAGACTCTCCTGGCTTTTGCCAGGCTATTTTCTTCCAAACCCGAACATTAGTTACACATATTTGCTCTATTGTCATTCAGTCACAGCTGGCATTCAAACTGTGCCACATTACCTGTCTGAGTGGGAAGCTTGTGTAGGTTGGTGTTGCTGCTGCGGCTGCCTCTGTTATCGTCACTCTCCCCTGTTCTCATTTTCCTGCCCTGCTGGTTGAGGTCCTCCACATTCTGCACAGGGACCATTGCCCTTTAACAGCTCTATTCCACACTTCAGGGTAGAAACACTTCACAGGGCAATTGTCCGTCCCATGCTGCCAACAAACACACAGGTTATTTTCCTCATGGCAGCGTGATGCAGAAGCTTACAGAGTGTATGGCACAGAGTGATTTGTGAACAACTTTGTTTCTATTTCAGAAGGCTTTGCCCTTTCTAGTGACACAGGCTGTTGCTATTCTTGGTAGCCTATCACAGGCAAGTGGGAGGGCCATCTTGCAGAACTATTGGTTTTGCCTTTAAACAAACAGTTGAAGCCATTAGGCATTCACACAGAGCTCAAGGCACATTCTTTAGCCATTAGCTTAAAGGATCTCTCTTGTGTTAATGTACCTTTAAAAAAAATAAAAACAGAGAAGGAACATGAAGGGAGATTTAAACTATTTGCTGCGTCAGCTAAAGTTAGGGTACTGAATACACACAGATGGTGTCAATTAATTCTTTTGAACGATGAACAAGTTATTGAGATAAATTCTACAGAGCAAAGCAGTGTCAGTCTTTCAGCCTCTGAGTCCAGTGCCAAGTAGTAGTGATGGTATATTTTTAGTCATTTCTACCATGCCGGAGTTGTGCATGTTTCAGAGGAACAGCCGTGTTAGTCTGTATTCGCAAAAAGAAAAGGAGTACTTGTGGCACCTTAGAGACTAACCAATTTATTTGAGCATGAGCTTTCGTGAGCTACAGCTCACTTCATCAGATGTTTACAGATGAATAAAAAGACAAGAGCCTGCCACATGAGTTTAGAGTCAAAGGGCCCAGTCCTGGGCACTGCTAAGTACCCACAATTCCCACTAACTACAACCGAAGAAAGGGGCAATAATAAACAAAGGGGGAGGGGAAGCAAGACAAGGGTTACAACAGTGAAAGATGAACTATGTACATAGGGCTAGATAGTGCAACCCTTACTCGAGCATCAGTGAGGCGAGCTGCTCATGTAGGCATGCACCAAGTGAGCCACTAGGGTGGTGTAGACTTTTAATTTTGTTTCTTTTTTGTTTTGTTTGGTTTTGTTGCAGTTAATGCATTAACACGTGGGGACAGAACGGGAGTGAAGGCGAGGGCAGAGGTGGAAGGCTGGTAACTCTTGCCCTAGTAGCATTTTCAGGAAGGAGCATTCCTAAACGTTTTTCACCTTAATTAAAACAGTCACCAAACATCCCTTATCAGTCTTTGCTTGACAAGGACATTCTACAGAAGAGAAAATAAATGTCTTTTCTGAGAGGTGGGTCACAGGAAAGTCTAGAGGCAGGAACATTTGGATTCCAAAATAACAAAGATTCTTGCTGTGGCCTTATTTATTTATTTATTTTTGACGGTACATTTGGCATTGTGTTACAAGAGTCAGACTAATCCTTCTCCTACTGGTAATTTTTTTTTTAGAAAGAAAATCAAATAAGAGCATATCAAGGAGTCAGCAGCCGTTGGATGCTGTCAGAGTCTGTCAAAAAAAAAAAATACTCACTACTGCCAGTGAGATATGTTTACATATGGTACATTTAAAAAAGAAAAAAAACATTTCATACTTATTTTGAATTTTTGACAAAAACAGGACGCTGTTTCCATGGGGGGGAGCTGTAATTTTGTTTTGAAAAATCTGTTTTAATTATGAAAATTAATAATTTTATCTATGGCGAGATTTCCCTGTGACAATCTGAGGGCCTGCCCTGCTCCTTGAGCGATTCTCAAATAGCTCCCTCCCTGAACATGACTCTTAGACAAAACTCTTAGACTCTTTTTTCAGTTAGACCTCTAAACAGACCCTTGTTTCTTCTAGTGTCCAAAATCCCTAGCCCCTCTCTCTTTAATGAACTTGGGATGCCTGAGGGCATTATCCTATGTGGCATATTGGCTGCAAACAAGTCCCTCGTCCTGGATGCTTGTCTTTGGGAGCACGTGTGCGGCTCAATTTCCCTCTCTTGACTGCTAGTTTGTGGGGTAGCCAGATTCTTTGTTTGACACACTGTAATGTTTCAAACCCTGAGGTGATATATACCATAATACATTGCGTACCCAAGAGTATATGAGATTTCAGTTTAGTGGCAGCTGGGGCCCCACAGAAAAGTTACCAGAGGACCTTGGGGCCCTCACTGGTGTCTAGCAAAGGTAAGGGTTGTGTTTGTGAGGAGGACCTAGTAGAAAATCATAAAGGTAGAATAATAACCATGGTGGATTTCCACCGTCTCATTCTCCTTTGGTGGTGGGGCTAATCAAAACTTTGTCAACCTTAAAATTTGGGTTCATGGAGTGAGTGATGGATCAGATCTGAAAATATGGCCCATCAGTAAGTAATTATATATGTCAGAGATTACACTGATTTTGTTTCTGTGGGTTATCATTATGTTTGCCTTCCAACTAAGAAGAGGCTGTTTTGCTGGAAACAGAGACAGCCCCTGAGGAGTTAGAAGGATGGGCTGAGAAAACAGAGGAGGCAGCACTGAAAGTACTATAATTAGGTTTATCTCCTCCCTCCTCACAAATGTCAAGAATTTTTAGAGCTTCTACCCTTCCTCCCCCCTCAAGGTGACACTGCAAATCTTCATAAAATATTTACCCCCTGCTTTGAGCCCATTCAGATTCAGCAGTCTGTGCAGGTATTATTTACTTTTTGTTTATTTTTTACAAGAGTTGGAGAGAGACCCTATGACTGTATCCCTTTTCCATTCTTCACTTCCCTTCCACACATAACTCTCCAGTTAGAGTGCTAAAGAGAGGCATATTTATTGGTGAGCCAGGAGTGGCGAGGGGCTGCAGGAGGGGCAGGGGCTCTGGCAATATGCAGCCCTCATGTGACAGCACAAAGCCTGCCTTGAGCCACTGCCACAGTGTCTGCTGCTTACGAAGCTTGGTGTGTGTCGGCAATGGGGTGGGTTCTGGGGGTCCACGGGCAGGGGTGATGGCTGTGCCACCTCGACACTCTGGGGTCAGTGGTGCTGGCTGGGGACTGCCTTCAACGGAGCATAGGTTTACCAGTTTAATAATACTGCGTAGGGCCCCATAAATCCTAAGGACGGCCCTGCCTCAGAGGGCTGGCTGGTCATATAGTGTTGGCTCCCCCACCTTATTTCCAGTGGAGAAAAACAGGACATATGTGAGGAAGAAGACAAAATGAAGAGCAAAAGCAGACAGTGCATTTAACTCTTTTCTAAAAGATCCAAGCACCATATTAAAGGCAACTAAAATACATTAAGTACTTTCCTTATATTACTTTCCCATGTATGCAACTAATGTAACTGCCACATTCATGTTACACAATCACAAACTGAAGGGGAGATGTCTGTTCTATTGTGAATGGAGTGAGGACAGTCCACAAAATCATCTTGAATAAGAGAGCCGGTCTTTATTTGGGAGCCCTTATCGTAAAGGCTGCATCCTGGACATGACTGATTGGGTCCCAGTCTGCAGAAAGATATAGTGCAGCAGTTCCCAACACCCAGAAGGTTTGCAAACAGATGATAAGGGGTTGCAAATCCAATCACTCTGTCCTTCTCAGGTTGCTCCATGGGAAGGGTCTCCTGGTGAGAACCGGCTAAGGAAGGGGCATTCTGGTATGGAAAAGGTAACAGAGCCCAATATGGAAATGATTAAGAACGACTGAGATGGACTAACAAGTTAACCAGGCACAATGCAATATAATTAGAAGTGCCTGTCTCACAATGCTGCAGCTTCGGAGCAAACACGATGTCATGCTGTTCAGAAAAAAGGAGGAGGACTGAAGGGATTGCAGTTAATAAAGCAAAAAGGTGAAGGTGAAAATGTAAGCCAGTAGCGCTCACAGGAAGCATTTGTTTCACTGGTGCCCAGATGGCATCAAAGTCATCAGCTGGGCTATTTTCTTATATCTGCTTTCAGAAATGAATCTTTTGGCTGACTGAACAGCTTATAATTAGAAAAATAATCACAGTAGAAACTGAAGAATTACTTTTAATTCTAAACTGCTGAATAAGGGGAATCTGCAGGCTTTGGGCCAATGTTTCTAGCAGATCCCACCCTATGCAAATGTACCCAATCCCAGCTCCTCTCTTGTCTACATTTCCAAAAGTCCTATTTTGTGGGATTGGAAACAGGGGGAGAATGCACTCCCTTAGAAACACCTCTTTGACTTTTCGAATTTGTTCCCTTCACATATTTTTAAAAGAGGGGGGAAAGAGTGCACCCATCTTATCTCCTTGGGCCTTCATATCTAGCGAGTCACAGAGGTGAGGCAGTGGAGCACAGTTGCTCAATTTCTTCCAAAATCTGGAAGTAAAATTTGGCAACAAATCCTTAAGAAAATATGCTTGCCGGGCCAGTTCTCTATGGGATTCCTACCTCCTTGAGTGTCAAGCTTTTTTTCTCAAAAGCAAAGGTCCACCTCCTGGGAATAAGGTCAGTCAGACAGGCATGCCTGGATCCTGGAAAGGGGAGTAGGAGGAAGGGAAATAACAATTCAGAGAGAGAGAAAAAGAAACAACAGAGAAAAGGAAGAAACGGAACAAGACAAACCAAGACAAACATGCAAATACTCCAGAAAAAGAACAGTATAAAAAAGCACAACCAGCCTCATCTCTCCCCCTGGCCATTAAAAGATGAGCTGAGGCATTGATGCCCACTCAGCAGTGGAGTTGGGCAAAGTTCCAAGTTGAAAGACATAAAAAGAGACAGAAAAATATCCCAAGAAAAATAATTAATCCATCCTTGAGAAAGTATGGCTGTAAAAAAGAACATGCACTTATTATTATTTATTAGTTAATATGATGTAATTCAACATAGTCATCCACCCCGCCCCCAAAAAAGCTTTTTACAAACCTATGTTAAGCTTCATGGAACCAATGTGAGCGAGGTAAGTTTCATTTTCCCCACTTTGCAGGTGGGGAAACTGAGGCACAGATGTTATGTGATTTGCCTTAAGAACAGCCATGCAGAGACTCTGTGGTAGAACTGGGAAGAGAACCCAAGTGTCCTCACGCTGAGTTCTGTGCTTTATTTAAAGGCAGTTTGTTCTCTCTCTCTCTCTCTCTCTCTCTCTCTCTCTCTCTGTTTCAGAGGGGCTATTAAGTTATATGTACTTATTTAATTCAATTATATATATTTTAAAAAACCCATAACAAAGCCTTTCTGAAAAGTCCTTGACATCTGTTAAGCAAACAAATAACCAACTC